CCGCTGGCGGGCTCAGGCTCAAGCGTGAAGAGGGTGGGACTGGCATTGGTGGTCTGAAGCGCGTGCCAGATCAGTACGGGGTGCCTTTCTGGTTGGTCGGCGTGTGCACCGCGAAGGAGAAGCCAAACTTGGCTGTGACATTTGTGACCGCCACGAACGGCATTAAGGTTCCCATCCTCAAAAACACGGTCGAGCTCAAGGGCGGCGACAGGTTGCGCATGTCCGAGGACACAGCAAAGGCGCTTGCAAGGGAAGTTGCATTGTCCGACGCCACGCCCGCCAAGCCCGCCAAGAAAAAAAGCAAAGACGCAGTGAGCCGCCCATTCGCCGCATTGCCGCGGCATTACGCAGGGCGTTGGCGTCGCCCTCCGTATATGAACGCACCTTGTTGGATGGCGAAGACATACTGAAATGCTTCATACTGCGATGCGTCATCACACCACCGCATCGCATCATTCTGCGATGCAGTATCGCGCCAGTCTGCGACATCGTCGCAACGCACCATAGCCGTTCTGGCTCAATCGCTGGGGTATCACGCGGCCCACGCTGCCCCGCGCGTCTGCATGCCAGTGTTTGTTTCCATGCGCACGGTGATCGAGGGCGGCGGGCTCAAGGAGCCGTGGATACCGCGGACTATTGTCCATATCGGAGGTATTGCGTTCATCGAGGTATCCCTGATGGACAGGAGGCTCTCCCAGTTCGTCGACGTCCAGAACCCAACAAACAGGAACGCCCCATTTGCCCAAAATCATTTCTTCAAAGAGTTGAAGGCCCTCCGAAACGCTGCATCGGACATTGCGATATGGGAGTACATGAAATCGCGAGACCCATTGCTGTCGGACCAGTCTGACCAAGACAAACTGATCAAGGCCTACAAGAAGAACATCGACGAGAGTGCTATGCCAGCATACGTTACGGTTCAGTTGCCAGAGGTTGAATTGAATGGTGGCGGCGTGGCCTTGAAGTGCGAGCCGGTCGCAGTAAGATGCATATTTTCTGCATCGGCGATTAGCAAGGTACATGTGGAATGTACAGAGAGCGTACTGACTTACATCAGATGTGCTGCGCTGAAAGCAGCAGAGGACGATGGCGCCGAGAAACAAAAGAGAGGACTGAGCGGAGTGCCAGGGGTCCGATGCGACAAGCGTCGCAGGGTGGTGTATGTCGTTGTGAAATCCCACAACTCGTCAAGACGCATCTATCAAAAACCAGTGGAATGGACTGACACGTGTATTTTGCACTGCACCCGCGAGCTACGCGACAAAGTGGTCGCGAAGGGCGAGGAGATAGAGGATCACGAGCCCGATGCCGATCTTCTCCATGGGCTGAATTGTGCCGAGCATGCCGAGGGGGGTGGACCCGAAGATCAACAGGGTGATGGCGAAGACGACAATGTCGATGCTGCGGGTGATAGCGACGCCCAGGGCTGAGACGTCACGCGCTGCGTCGGGCACGCACAGCGCGCCCACCCTTTCGACCTCCTATCTATTCTCTCACCGTCGGCCCCGTCGTCCTTCCCACCCGCGGGGGGGGGGGGGCTCCCCGCCATCGTTTTACACGTCCCCTCGTGCCACTCCTCGCTCGTTCGCATCCTAGATGCGCTCTTCAGGCAGACGTGCCGCCGCCACCCCTCACCCCTGAATGTTCAACAAGGAGCCATCTGGGAACGACCTCTTATAGAGCGCCAACTCGTCCTGAGGGCCTGCACCTCCTGCTCCAGCCCCTCGACCTTCTGCGCTGCCTCCGTCTGCTGCTGCTGCTGCTGTAGCGCTGCCTCCGTCTGCTGCTGCTTTTGCCGCTGCTCTGCGATCGTGCGCTGCTGTTCCCCCAACTCCGCGAGCAAGTGATCGTGCTGCTGACCGCGCAGCAAGAGATCGCCCTCCACATCGTCCACTCGTGCTAGCAACACTCGTGCAGCATTTACGTGCGTAAGCAAAGCCTTCTATCGGCAGGTGGGGGGGCGACGGCGGCGGCGACGACATCGACGACGACGAACTTAAGACGACGACGCCCGCCTCGCGAAGCTGCCGCATCGCGGCGACTATGCCAGGGGTCTCGGGCGCCATCGCAGCGCGGCTCTCGGACGACACCACGGGGGGATGTGCGGGGCCCGATCCGTCCCCGGGGGGGCTGCGCGGGGCTCGCGTGTGAGCGCCAGCCGCTACGTGCGAGCGCCCCGACCCAATCCCCATGAACCCTACATCCAACACGGCGATGCGGATGCTCCGCAGAGGCGACGTCGCGGGGTGGCAACGTCGCGGGGTGGGGGGCTTGGGGTGGCCGACTTGGGGGGCCAGGAGCAAATGGTTGGTCTGGGGTTCGAATGGGAATGGGGTCGGGGACACATTGTGCGTGATCTATGGGGGGGGGCATGCAGTTTATTTCGCATGCGATATATGCGAGCTCGTAGTTGGGCGTGCTGCTCTGGGGATACAGCCAGCGCCATGGGTGTGGAAACCATCATCGTTGCACATGCGTTCAGCAACATTTGCTTGCGACGCAACTGTGCATGATTCTCATTATGGTGACAATCGCATCTGCCACATCGTCGGCCGCACAATTGCCACTGTCATTACCACCGATACACACCGACTCGAACGTACATGTCATGTAAGAGACGCTAGCGTCATCATCACAAGTCACATTATGCGTGTGCAAACTATTTCGCCACAGCCGTTGTGTTGTTATGTGCGCGCGACGCCGTGAGTTATTGATGTGGGTGTTGGACTAGCTTCGGTTAGGGCGAGATAATGTTTGGTATTTGTAATATCGTAGTTTGATGTCGAACGGCACAGTAGTGTAGAGCTTCGTAGGTTAAGGATTTCGGCTTTCGGGTGAGTACAGTACTGTAAGCTTTGTGTGGTCTGTATATGTGTAGAGTGCATCTAAGATGCACGAGGAACTATAAAGATCCGCGTCTCTCTCTCTCTCTCTCTCTCTCTCTCTTTCCGACGCCGTTGTGGCCCATGTGTTCAGCCACGCCCGCGGCGCGCGGGCCGTGGGTTCACGGCGCGGGGCCCGCTCCTCCACAGGGTGCTCGCCCCCCCCCGCCGCGCGGGGCCCCCGACGCCCGCCGCGGCCTCGCCCCCGCCCCGCCTGGCCCTGCAGATGAGCGGTGGTGGCGACGACGCCACCGAGGTGGCAATGTTGCTCGCAGCGACGAGCGAGATCCAGCAGCGACGGGAGAAGGTGGCGGAGGAGAAGCCGTCGCGGCTGCAGCCGACGTCCAAGAAGCGGCCGACCGCGCCGCGGACGGCTCCGCCAGGGCACATCTTGGCGGCCGCCATGGCCTCCGCCGAGAAGAAGCGCAAGGCGATGTGCTGGTCGGCGCAGACTCGCGTGCAGACGCGGCGCGGCTCGGTGGCGGACTCGCTGCTCGAGAAGCTCAACCTCGCGCCGCCCATGAACCCGACCATGAACTCGATGAAGGACCTTCTCGAGTTCGAGGTCGACGAGCCCGAGGGTGGTGGCGACGACGCCGCGGGCGGCGGCGACGCGGTCGACGAGGGCGACGGCGACTACGAGGGCGCCACGGCGGATGAGTACGAAGGTGGCGACGCTGAGGGCGGTGGCTACGACGACAGCGCGGGCGAGAGCTACACCGCCGATGGCGACGCCGAGGGCTACGGCTACTACAGCAGTGGCCGTAAAAGCCGCCACTACTACGACTACGACGACAGCAGCGAGGGCGCTGGCGGCAAAGACAGCTACTACACCAAGGACGGCAACGACGGCTGCAGCCGCGGCGGCAAAGACAGCTACTACAACAAGGACGGCTACTACTACGGCCACAACAAGGACGGCTACTACGGCCACAACAAAGGAAGGCCTCTTGTTTTTTTTTTTCTTTTTGTTTTGTTTTTTTCTATTTTTTTTTTTACACGGCTAGGGGCCCACACCAAGAACGGCTACTACGGCAGGACGGCTGGTGGGCCAAGGACGGCTCTTAATTATTTTTATTCTTTTGTTTTTTCTTTTTATTTTTTTTTATTCTTCTTTTTTGTTT